ATATATATATAGGAAGAAACTATAAGGAAAACAGTATGAATGCTGACTCAGCTTTTACATCAGTATTGCCTTTGCTACATTTTAAACAAGCACACATAAAAAGAGTGAACTGTTGCTGCAGCTGGGAGAATTTGATCCTGGCTTTAATTGTAAGACCTATTTATAGCCGAACAGGTGACAAACTTAATGCACAGTTGAAATACACAGAGTAAAAGCTGTTCTTTCCCCTCCGTCACACAGACACACACAAACACACATCACATAAACCTCCAGCCATGCTTGTGGTAAAGTGGCTACAGAGCCAGCTGAATGGAGCAGATGGTCGCAGAGCTGAAGCTGGGGAGTCCGAGTGACTGGAGAGAAGGCTGGCAGCAACCAAAACTGGGCTCAATGGGTGGAAACCAGAGGAACTAATTACAGTGGTAGCTGCAGCATTAGCCAATTGTCTTGCATTTATCATTAGCTCTGCAGAATAAAACAACAGAGTGCCAAGTTAAATAGCAGAGTTGTTAGTTTTTCCACAAGAAATCATGTTTTTTTATCAATTTCTTTGGAAACATTTTTCTGGTGCAGAGAAGTTTTCAGTGGTCGTGAACATGAGAACTACCTGTGTCATGGCCAATAGCAGATGTTAATGGCTTAATGCTGCTTTCAGCTGTGAAACCTACAACTTTCTAATTGCCTGGCCTTCCCACACACCAGCAGAGCCACCGTGTCTGCTGCTCCCGCTATAATATCTTCAAAGTCTTGTAATCTCGTCGGCCGAGTAAAGTCTTCGAGTGAAACCCGCCGAAAAGGTCAACTAATGCAATTTGAATAACTTTGATTAAACGGTGTACCGGTGCCAGACCAGGACTGTAGGTCAGTGCCTCGGAGAAATAATATCCCGCCCCCTCTAACCTCCACGTGTCCCTCTCCCCGGGTCCTGACCGTCGCAGCTCCCTCATTGTTGCGGTGTCACATCAGCAGCTCTCTCTTTGGAATTTACGGAATCTCCCGACTTACTTCCTTACACACTTTTAATTCTCACTCGGCCATATTCCACAAGGTTTAAATTGAAAAAAATCTCCAATTCTGAGAGTTTCAACTGTATTTTTTCTCTCAATTTATTTTAAATTTATACAGCTTTCAGAGTTTCTAACTTACAGCAGCAAGTGGATGATGGAAAATGTGCTGATTTGAAACTTCAGCAAAGTAAAAACTTTAAATAATTAAAGGCCAGAGTTTTAAATTAGTCATTTTGTGATTAGAATGGGAGTTCTAACAAGTTTGGTAAAAAAAAATTCCAATCTGATGTGCAAGATGTTTTTACTTACGTTTTATTTAATCATCCAAATCACTTTGAGATCACTGGGATCTTTTTCAAGCAGGGCCTTGGCCTGAAGGCAACCTAACATTTGTTTTATGTCTGTGGGAGGAAACCGGAGTACCCAGAGAAAACCCACACAGACATAAGAAGAACATGCAAACTTCACACAGTAAGATCCCTGGGCCAGGAACTTCTTGCTCTCAGGCGTTGGTGCTAACCATTAAAGCCTGCTTTATAATGCAACAAAACGTGAAACAGGGCAAATAGCAAATTTTGGTAACTGTGGAACTTCCCTAATTGTGTCGGAGCTATTACCAAAAAAGTGAAGATCAAAGCTCCACCATGTGCTGGTAATGATTTTAACAAATATGAAGGTGGGCACTGAGTTGTGAAAATAGCTTTCTTGGAGAGTTTCTCCTCAAAGCTGTCCATTTTGCTATTATAAAAACGGCTTCCAGAAGTGGACAGTTTTGAACAAAGTGACATGCAGTAGTAGCATTAGTTGTTTCGTATAAACAAACATGCCCACAAAGTTCTGACCAGTCACAAGCTGTGAGCTGCATAGATCTGCAAGACAGAGTTCTGACTGTAGACAATGTACAAGACGGTGTCAGTGGGAAGGCACAGACAGAAGCTACGCAATTTTTTGTCACACAATCGGATCAGCATAACGTGACATTAGAAATAGGAATCATCTTTAAGCAGTCGCGCTCTTGCCCATGTTGCACTTAGAGTACCGGTATGTGTTGTGAATGACCCTCAGCTACCACCACACCAGATTTTAGCTTTAGGTTTAGCTGACTATAGCAGAGCAGTCATCTTGAACTGAGTTGACTCCAGTAGTTCATCCATTGTGGATATTTATCCCTGAGGACTTTTTACAAGTTTCAGTAATCGTCACACAATGGGCGGGAGAAAACAGACGGACAATTTATATTGTTAGTCTAAATTATTACATTTAAAATTATAACTCTAAATCAAGCAGAATAGCCTATTGTCAACATAATCATAGAGTGTGATTTATTTTCAACTCAAAATATCTTCAAACTAACGAAATATAAAGTTATTAATGAAGAAAACCCGTCTGGATAACAGCAGACTGACTGCTCGTAAAATATACGACAGGTCTGGACCACTCGTGAATTTTGTTCGTATCTGAAAAAATCTTAGAAAACGAAAACATTGGTGAATGCCACAAATTCTCCTAAATCACTCGTACGCACAACTTAAGAACAAATCTGTGTGTACGAACGGTTTTTGCATGAGGCCCAATGTCTTTTGGCAGTGGCCAATTAAAAAGTTGGATGTGCCTCTTGTTAAAAAAAAAAAATAAATATATAAAGTTGTTTTTATATCTGTTTCTGTTTCCAGTTTGTCCTGGTACGCAGAACAAGTTGAGCACCCTATCGGACCTGGACCAACAGTACCGCACCCTGCGGAAGCTCTATGAAAACTGCGAGGTCGTCATGGGCAATCTGGAGATCACCAGCATTGATCGGAACCGCAATCTCTCCTTTCTTAAGGTACGGATGTTAAATTATCTCTGGCGATCAGTAAAGATATTAATGACACCAGTGGAGCTCTGCGGGGCTAAACGAAGAGATGAAAGCCTGGGAGTCTTTATTCTACTTTAGTAACATCAAATATTCTTCCAGTACTGAGAAGCTTAAATGAAATGGTTGAGATTAAACTTAGTGCACACCATGAAAACCACATTAGAAAACCGAGCCATTAGAATGGTTCTTTCCTGCTTACGAATGTTCATAACGGAGTGAAATGACCCAAAAGTGTGGCAGCCATGTTAAGAAATGGTTGAATTCTCTAAATGCCAATAAAGTGAGCTTCAATGATCTTTTTATGAGACTGAAGCACTCCTTATGAAAGAAAAGAAATCAATAGTGTCCAACACTTCCTTGTAAAGAACTTCACTTTTGCAGCTTGTTTTTTATTCCCATGCTTTTCTTTTTCAGAACATCGCAATGTATTTTATTTGCTACTAGATTTAAACAATTGACTGTGACTGTCAGCAAAGAGTAACAACATGCATTTTACTTTTGTGCAAGGTTAGAGTGATTGAAAAATATCAATCCTGGCACTTTGTTACTAAGGTGTCCCAACTATGACCTACATAAATGTTGTAAGAATAAAAAGTGCAAAATTTGGAGGTAAAACCAGTAACCATTCAGTTTTTGTAACTAAGACATTTAGTGTAACTAAAAGATTGTTCCTAAATTACATTTAAAAGCTAAATGTTGCAAGATCATACCATTAACTAAGTTTACATTCATGTTGTGCTTTTACTGTTTTATAATCTGAGGCTTTATAATCCAATAAACTGACTCTTCACTGTTACAGTTTTAAGGCTTAAATTGATGCTAACCAGAGTTTGTATTAAAACTGTAATTATACACTGTCCGAACAAAAAAAAAAGTCTCCACCTGGATTTAACTAAGGTCTATGACGTGGTGTTGCTTCAGTTGGTCAGGTCTAAGTTCAGCAACAGTTTGTGCTCAAAGAATGAGGTCAGCTGACTACCTGAATATACTGAATGACCAGGTTATTCCATCAATGTATTGTTTCTTCACTGATGGTGCGACTGTATTCCAAGATGACAATGCCAGGATTCATGGGGCTCTTATTGTGAAAGAGTGGTTCAGGGAGCATGAGACATCATTTTCACACATGGATTGGCTCCACAGAGTCCATTGAGAACCTTTGGGATGTGCTGGAGAAGGCTTTGTGCAGCAGTCAGACTCTGCCATCATCAATGCAAGATCTTGGTGAAAAATGAATACAACACTGGTGTTGGTGTGTGTTTTTTAACACAGTGGTATTAATGAGATGGCCAACGCTCTGCAAGAAGTGCTTTAAAAAGTTCATTATCACTTCATTTTGGCGTCTGGTTTATTGTCACTGAATTGAGAAAACAGCCTTTAGAATGGAGTCTGCATCCACCTACAAAAGAGTTTTTAAAAAAATGTATAGAACATTGTAGAAATACATTAAAAATCTCATCTCAGTGGTGTTTTTTAGTTGGTGTCAGTAAACAGCTGGAGAATACCATTGTGACCAAGTTTATTGTCAAGGTTTCACACTGGATACAGTAAGACATGTAGAGTGTAGTTTAACTACAATTACAAATGTAGAAAAACAATAATATGAGTATTGTACATATATTCATATCAACAATTGTTAATCTGTATTTATACACTCATGATTGTATATTTTGTCTTGAAACGATTGAAAAAAATATATTTGAGTGAGAATGTTACATTAGGGCTGGGTAATAAAACACAAATACACATTACCGATCAAAAGTTTTAGAACACCCTCATTGTTACAGTCTTTTCATTTGAAATTCAAGCAGCTCAAGTGCAAAAATCATCTTGAAAGGGTGCAAAGATTTAAAAAAAATTGCAAGGTTACCCCAAAACTGAAAGTCAAGTTGTTGAGTCCAGTTTCTTTCACCATCACAACGCACCCAGAAAGTGGTAAAAACTCTGACAGGAAGAGGTGTGGTAGACTCAGAGCCACATCAGCATCAGAGGACAAGTTTCTGAGAGTCTGTGTGACAGCAGCTCACAGGTCCTCAGCTTCAAGCACAGCCGGTCATAGAAGGCAAATCTGTTTTAACTGTGAAGAGAAGACTTGGAGCTGCAGATCGACATGTCGAGTCGCTGCAAGAAAAGCATCTCTGAAAAGAAGCTTGCCTGGACCATGAAACACCCACCAGTGGACCAGTGAAGGCTGGAACAAGGTGTTGGTGTTGACGGATGAATACAAAGCTGCAGTTCATCATGCAGGTTAGTTCAGGACTTTAGTACAGTTTCTCATTGTGACAGCTGTTAAACATGGAGGAAGAAGTGTGATGATCTGGAGCTGTCCTGCTGGATCAGGGTTGAGTCTGCCACATTTCTTCCTGTCAGAGTTTCCACCCGATTCTGAGTACATTGTGATGGTGAAGAAAACTGGAGACACGGTCACTTTGACTTTCAGTTTTGGGTAGCCTAAACCTCTGCCAGTTCAGCACTTACCTTTGCACCCTTTCAAGCTGTTCATTGAACTGCAGCTGCTTGAAATTCAAATGAAAAACTGAAAAACAAGGGTGTTCTAAAACTTCTGATTGGTAGTGTATATATCGTGATAGACAAGTTATCAACATTAATAGAAAATACATCTGATAGAATGTTGATAATTTCACTAAACTCTGATCCAGAACCGCACAAGAAGAGGAAAAGCTTCAGCCACTCAACTTCTCATGGCCCCACTAAAGGCCCTGTCACACTATAACATTTTAGACAACTTAAGTCAACTTGTAAACATTTTAAAGACATCTTTATTGAAGATGGAATTTAAAAATAAATCAGCTGGAAGCCTCTTTTAGCAGTGCACATACAGTAATACTAACAAAATCAAGATCATCTGTTGTATGATGGCAGCTGAGATGCAAAAATACCAAGTGTATTGTTGCAAGCCAACATTCAGTAATATCTCAGGTTTTCCAAAGATTGTGCAACCATAGTACTTTAACCCACAAGAAGCTTAATCATTTTTTTAAAAAAAGACACCACATGTTTTACTAATGTATTCAAAGCAGTTGATTCAGCTGGATTAGTTTAAAATTACAACACCAAGCTGTGCAGTGTAACCGTTGATAAGACTTACTTTTCTAGGAGATGAGGAAACAATTCTCCATTCAACCCACCAAAAGCAAGTAGGGGTCTCTGCAGAACGTGTTGTCCTGTGTGCGCAGACGTCCCAAATCATCATTGGCCGAGGTCTTAATGTGGGCTGAGACATCCCTGCTTGTGATTGGTGGAGGTCTTGATGTGGGCGTAGATGGCCCAAGAGATGTGATTGGTCAGATTGACGGCGGGGTTTGAGGCTGGAGGCAGCGGGGAGTAGCTTGGTCGAGTCGGGCAGGAAGTAACTTTTTTTAGATAAATTTTAGTCATAACTTGAGAAAGAAAAGTGCTAGCTGTACGAAATTTGAACATCGTACATGTGAATTTTTACAGGCTGATAAGGGATGTTTTAACCGAGCCATATTGTTACACATCCTTTCACATGTACGATGTTCAAATTTCGTACAGCTAGCACTTTTCTTTCTCAAGTTATGACTAAAATTAATCTAAAAAAAGTTACTTCCTGCCTGACTCCACCAAGCTACTCCCCGCTGCCTCCAGCCTCATACCGTCAATCTGACCAATCACATCTCTTGGGCCGTCTCCATCCACATCAAAATCTCCGCCAATCACGAGTACGGCCATCTCCACCCACAGGACAAAACCTACTGCAGAGACCCCCTTACTCACAAAAAGCCCCACTGGGATCCAGTTGTGTGTGTCTCAAGGTGTTTATGCATCCCAATCATAGGGGAGGTATTTTTAAATTCAGTCACAGTTGCCGATGCCACAAGGCTTAAGGCCCTGCCAACCCCCCCACCCCCCACTCCCCTGCTGTTTAATGAAGTGCGGTGCAGTCTAATTACTAGGCCGCACTATCAAATGAATAGCAAAAGCGGTCCCATTAGACTCGGCATCATTAGGGAAACAATTAGGCATCTGCGGGATTGTTAGATGAATGTAGGAAAGGGGTGAGGGCGATATGCAGTTACCGTAGTGACAGTATCTAACATCCTGCTTGTTACAGGAAGTTGGAGATACTACATCAATGTCTCAGCGCGAAGTTGTTCATTTGCAACTCAACAACTTTAAGGGTTTCTGCTGTTTTTTTTTTCCTTTTTCTTTGTCAAGTCTACAGTTTTAAATAATGTTTTTACCGTACAATGTAACGGTTCAGGCGAAGTTCAGAAACCCCACGTGCACACACCAGCTGTAGACACAGACAGAGGCACTTGCTGAGCCGCGGGCTAGCTGAGGAGGGCTAACGAGGGTAGCTTTGAAGGAACGGAAGGGGGTGCGTGGACAACTGGAGTGTGGAGGGGGTTAGAATGGAAGAAACTGAGACAGAAGTGGGGCTGAGAGGAGAGGGATAGCACTTTTATGGCAGGCAAGAAAGAGCTGTTGCGCTGAAATTACCATGTTCAGCTACTGTGCTGCAGGGTTGTGTGTTTTTCTTCTTTTTTTCTTTTTTCTTTTTTTGTCTGCATGGATCTGTATTTGTTTGTGTGTATATGAAGAGGACCAGTGAACAGATGAAGAGATGAGGGAGTCCAGGCAAGAACAGAGATGAAGCTTTGGGATTTTTTTCCCCTGCTGAGAGTCTGACAGAGATGGACAGGATGGCTTTTTTCTCTCTCTCTCTGGTTCAGCTTGTTTTTCAAACCACATCTTTCTGACTTCCTATTTCTTCTGTCATTTTTTTATCCAGCTTAAAGGCTCATATAGGTGGGACCTGCATCACTGTGTCAACTACCAAATTCGATACTTTTATAAGTACTGACCGAATTTTGTCGGTACTACCGAGCATCTATTCACGTAACATTAAACGGTACCATGTTTCGGTATCTAAACGCATCATTGTGACCATATTGGCGTACGAGTGGTGAGTTTTCAAGTCT